TGCTGCCTCGGGTCACTCGCCCGGTGCTCAGTGGCGACGCAGGAACAGAAGGGGCTTCTTGGAGGTAGTAGCATCACCCGTTAACAGACGGGTGAGGATGTGAGCTTGGAAGAGAGAGCGAGCTGCATGAGTTGCCTTAGCAGTACCTACCTCCAAAGGTGCTGTTATTCTCCATGAATAGATTGGAAGTCATTTTACTTCTTCCTGTTTTTAGTTTTTAATTTCACTTCACCATTTCACTGCACGGTATAGAGACATTTTTTGCATACTAGCTGTACAGGTGCCTAGTGGCCAAGGGTTCAACCTTGGAGAGCTTTGGTGTTCATTCCCTGTTCAGGTAAACTCACTCTGGCTAACTTTTGTTACTTTTTTTTTGGCGATAATTCTCTTTCTGATGATATTATTTCATGCAGGTGATTCTGTGCTGCTGGAGGCACCTCTTATGCCATAGAGCTCTGATGGCAAATAAGCTGTGCAGTTTTAAGACCCGTTTTGTTTATCAGTAAGATGGGAAACGTGTTCCTCCAAGACGTAAGTCAGAGGAAGGCCTGTCAGCGCACGCACTCCGTGTGTGCTTCAGTCTGATAGTCAGTTATCACCTTTTATAAAAATAAGGGCTAGTAAGTGACTCATTTATAAGTGCATAAAAGAAAACAAAAAGTTGGTAGTAAGGCTGCTCATTTTACAATTGTTCCTGTATGTAGTTGACTATTGAGGAAATCCTCAACCATTCCATAGAAAGATGGGATGGTAGTTCGGGGATAATCAGGAGCTCAGCTGTAATGAGAAAATAGAGATGTCCTTAAAGGTCTAATAACACAGCTATAAAGTACAGAGGGAAGGCTTGCTTTAATGTACCAAAATGTCAGATTGGCTCTGTCTCGCTGCCTTTTTTTTTTTTTTTTCTTCTTCCCTCCTCTCCAAAAAAAAAAAAGTGCTAATGTTGCTAATGTTGACAGAGGCAGAATAATCACCCATATCATTAAAACTGTAATCACTACATGTTAAGCTGTTGGTCAAACTGAGAAAGTTATTCCTGATGATATTGGTCATTTATTTTATTTTGTGTTGAATAACCAGCTTCAGGTGTATTCAACTCCCTGAGATGAGCATTTCTTCATTGTGTATTTTAATTTTGGGGTTTTTTGATGTAATGGAAAGATAGTGACAAATCATAAGTGTTGTAGTATTCTGAGTCAATTTAGATACAATATGGGAAATGAAAATGATATTGGAGGGGAGCTTCAGTTAGATCAATAACTACTACCAGCAAAGGTTGCAGATTGCCACTTTTTGCTGTGGACTGCATGCAGGGAATAAGAGTTATATTTATCTGTGATCAAGTCAAAATTGTCTTTGATTTTCTTTTTCCTGTCCTTGGTTTGGTTTTGTCTGCAATTTAACACAGCTAGGAAGTTGGGTGTTTCCAAAATAAGACTAGGGTATTTTCAGATGGTTTTGCAGCTGTAGTATCTGAGGGGGCTGGGCATCCACTATTTGAATATTGTAATACTGCTTAAGTAACATGAAACTTTCTTGTGCTTAGCTGATAGATTGCATTCTGTTGGCTGATTAGTAAAAATATTTGAGGACACTGTAACTGTAATGGAGTATATTGTGCTGAGTACGCCTGAAATGTGTTGCTAACACACACCATTTAGTAATAATCTGAAGTATCTTCTTCTCTATCTCGAGCCATCAGCAACATCTTGTTACCACTTGCATTTGCTCAGTAAGTGCTACAGTCTGGGCATGACTGTGAATTGAATACGAAACTTCTAAGAAAACTTTCACCAAGCAAGTGTTTTGTTGTGGGTGCCTTTAGTTTGGAAACAAGCTAGGAGCATCAATGAGAAGGAACTGCTTATACATGAAATATGTCATTTGTTATTGGAAAAATCAAATTAAGCTATATTCCAAATTAGGAACTCTATTTTTGACCTTCCAGGGATGGCTGCTCATCTTTATCTTGTTGTGGGAACAGGGAAGAAAACTGAAAATGCAGATAGTGTGTCAAGAATGTAGAAGATATGAGTGTTGAAAATTGGTGTAATATGGACCAAAAACTCCATGTTGCTCTTGAAAATTTAAGTTGTGGTTGACTTTGAGAAGTTACCTGTATGACTGAGAGAGAAACTTGAGGGTTTGGGAAAATTCATTGTTTAAAGGTAGGAATGTAAAGGAATGCTCAGGGAGAATGAGGTTTTTGTGTTTCATTGGATATTGAAACAGGCTAAGCTAACTACCTGTCTATTGGGTGCACTGCCAGGACTTGCATCCTGTCAGGGAATATGTAGGATGTAAATACTTATAAATGACAGGCTTGTAGTAATGTGTCACACTGCAGAGCCAAAGCAAAGCCAACCTTCCCCCCTGCCGTCTCCCAGTCTCTGGCAAACTTCTAGTGTTTGTTAAGGATCAACAAAAGGATAAAAGAACCTGGTTTGCTCTCTTTACAGAAATGAGAACACACTTGTTCCTCTTTCAGCCCTCTACGAAAGATACGGAAATACTTTTTTTTTTTTTTTTTAATTGTTTAGGGTATAGGATAGCTATTTTTAAAGCAGATAGAAGTTATTTTGACTGATGCTACGTCAGCCAAAAGCAGTGAGTAGTTGCGTCAAACCGAGTAGTGTAGTTGTTTCTGCAGTTGTGTGGTGTGGTATTTTTTGTAATTTTGTAATTTTATTTAATCCCCAAACTTTAAGAGGGTCTAATGGTGGAAGAGTCCTGAGAAGAACTGCTTGTAATTACTTTATTCTTCCATCCCTCATCCATTCTCTTTTCAGCTTCATGGAGCTGGAGCTGTACTTTACCCTTTCTACAACTTAGAGGAACAGGTTCTTTGCAATACTGGATCCTTTTGAGTTCCAGGGCAGAGTAACAGAAAGGACTACTTGGAGAATGCCTATACAAGAGTATGCAATTTAGTCTGGAAATGCGAAAATGTAGTTTTGTATCATGACAGAATACAGTATTTTGAATTGCAGAGAAAATAGGAGGGGAGAAAAAGGTGTTCTGTCTTCCTTGAAATGAAAGGGTTACTTATTTTTGTTTCTCTTAATGGATAGCATTTGTCTTTCTCCTCGTCCCCCTGTTCAGCTTTTTTTCTGCAGGAAGCTTTTGGATGTATGGGGTAATCATGCTGGCAGTAGTATCTTATTACACCTAAATGTGAGTATGACAGAGGGGGAAACGCATGAGGAAATAGAAGCTTGGCTGACACGAGAAGATGAAAAAGACAGGTGTCCCTGAAGGTTGTTTTAATTTCCTAGGTTAGTGTTCTGAAATTCTGAAGTTTGTAACACAGATTGTAATTACCAAAACAGACAATGCTTTTGTGAGCAAAACATTTTTAGATGGAATGTATTCCTATTATAACATGAGTGGAATCTGACCTTTTCTCCCTTACTCCTTTTTGCACTGAAAAAAAAGGTCAATTTTTTCTCAACACCTGTATGTTATAAACCAAAAGAGATATTTGCCAGGTAAATTCTATAGCAACACTTTAGAAGATGTTAAATAGATTTTTTTCTTTTTGAGGAATATCAAGGATATCCTTGACTGTTATCTGTTATTTTATTGTGGACTATGTTTTGCAGGAAAAACTAATCTGTTACTTGTAAAATAGTCTGAGAAAGATTTGTATTTTATTACTATTATTCTGTCTGGTGTCACAGGAAATTCCAATTATTTCAGTGATACTGATGTTAAAATGAAAATTGGCAATAGTAACAAAATAAATAAGAATTATTGGCTTGTACTCTAAGCGCTGAATGAAAAGATTGTTTTGCACTTAGTGTTTTCATTGCAGGACTTGGAGTGTTTCCTGTCCAGGGGTGACAATGATAGGTCTGGCTGTAAAAATGAAACATTTGGCTGAACAAAGGGTGATATTGGGCAAGAGGGATTATGTATGAGAGCTGATACTTCTAGAGTATGTGCAGGCCAGCTGTGTTCCAGTATTTGTACATAACTTTAATTTGACTGTGTGTCTTCATAATGAATTAGTTGTTGTTACTCGCATGTTGTTACTTTGTAATGAATTAATAAATTTAAGTAAAATATTTGAGTGTTTAGGAAAGGAAGAACTTTTGCCTTGCTGTTAAAGTGTAGATGAATTGGCAAGTACAGCATTTGAGATTTAGTTCAGAAAATATAGCATGCCGGAAAGTAATTTATAGAGTTTTGATATTGTTGAGTGTTAGTTATGGTAGTTGATCAGAGGTCTGTCGAAACTTGAATATATTTCTTCAAGCTATTTGAGTTGTTTAAATGACCACTTTGTTGATGGTGGGTGAAATAATAAAAGGCTTTGAGTATTAGGGCAAAGTTAGAACAAAGTTAAACCATGTAATTTGAGGTGTTTCACTGAATACAGGTGATGATATTTGTAGTTGAGCATTTGCAGTTTTTATTTTGACTGGGCAAGAGGTATTAATAAAAAGATAAACTAGAGAACTGCAAAGTTACGTGGCTGTTGGAAGAAACTGAGCATCTCTGGGGACGTTAAAAACTTGCCAAAAAGCAGATGTCATTATAGGAATGACCCCCCGTTACCTCTAGGTCTTTTCTGTAATTTGTCGGATAGGATGGTCTACTCGGGTAAAGAAGAGTTTCCTTTCTCTAGGTGAATAGGCTCACATCAAAGCACTGAATTATGTTGTCTGACTTCCTCTCTTAATATGTTTAGGCTTCCTCAAGTTCCCATTAGCTAGTAGTTTGGCCAAAATGGCAACTTTTACGGTAGGAAAACTTGTGCTATTTCAATCATGAGAGTTTATACATGCTGTAGTCAAGTCTTTTCTGCAGCTGTTCAGTTGATGACAAACTTGTTTCCGATTTTTCCATGCAAACTTCTAAATTTTAGTGCAGAAAAAGCTGCTATGTTTGTATTCATTTTCTACAAAGCTCCATTTTTGTCACTGAAGGTTGTAAGATCATAAGAAACTGTATTATTCTTCTTTATCTAATTGTAGGTGAGAACTGAAAGTCCAAGAGAAGGTGATGATTTTAAGACAGAAGGATTGTACAGAATTGTGCAAAAGTCATGATTTCTGGTAGCAAGAACTTACATTGAAAAAAAAAAAGGGGGGGGGGATCAGAGACGTCAAGTAAGAAGTCAGAACCTTCCAAAGGTTGCAGTATAAAGACCCATCTTAGTCTTCATCATCTTACAGGATAAATACCAATTATGGATCTTAAGAATTATGCTAAAGCTTCTTTTCAGACTGGCAAGAGATATGTTCCGGCATTAGTTATTCAGGGAGAAAAGAGTTCAAATATGCATTATAGGATTTAATTGTATCTCTCTCTCTCTTTTTTGATATAGCTATCAAGTGCAAATCCTGTGTATGAGAAATTCTATCGACAGGTATGTATGTTTTTATTGAAGTTGCAAACATTTTTGCTTACATAAAAACAGAATATTCTTTGCTACAGTCTTTAATATGACCAGCAGTGTGTAAACTATGGAAGTTCAGAAAAAAACAATCTGCTTTAAGGTGTATTTTTATAGTATACGTTATAGTAGCTAACACTTGCTTGATGTGTCACTACCATCCATTATATCACGTGTATTGCTTTGCAATTGTAACATACTTGGCTCTTGTGATGAAGTAAATTTTTGCTGCATAGTATGCTGTTAGGTTCTTTTGTAGCATGTGCATAATATCCATTATACAAATACACAAAACCACCTTTAAGTAAACAGAAATTTAAAATATTGCTTGTATAAAGCAAATGCAATTTTTTTAAATAAGTAAATTTTGAATAACTTATGAAGCTCTTTCGAAAATCTAATAGGAGGGCTTTTATTTTCCCTCCATTGTGAACCTGTTAAAGCTTCTGTCTGCTTGCTGTAAAATGGGATGTGCTGTATAAGACCTTTTTATTTGGTCACTTCTGGGTCTCAGTGCTGCAACGTAGCCTTACCTGCTGTGGAGAGAGAAGTCGTGATGTCTGCCAACGCTATTTTTGAACTGTGCTTAGGGTATTAGCATAATATGCTGATATTCATAAATATGCATAAAATTGGGGATAAAATGTATAAGCTAGAAAGTTTGAACTTATAGAAGAGTGTTTTTGAAGTTCCTGAAGGAAGAGAGAGTTTAGTCAAAATTAGGTTGGATCCAGAAACCAGCTTGAAGAAATAGGAAACAGTTGTCACTCTTACAAAGATGTTTTCTTTCTCTGACTCAGTCTGAAGGACAAACCCAGTATATGTCTATCTCCAGGAACAGAGTTAAAGGCCTTAGGAGACTCCCATGTTATGAAGATTATTACAAGGTCATGAGAAAAGACAAGAGACTCATTTTCTGCACATTAGGCTCCTTGGCTTAATACTATTGACTCCTTCTCACTGACTTGCATAATCATCCCATGTGCCTATTCATTTCTTCCTTCTGATTGCAATTGCTTAGCTCTTAAAATCTGAAGCCAAAAGTTGGATACAGGGATTTGAGCATAAGTATAATGCTTGTTCCTAAGTCTCTTAATATCTTGCATTTATGGGAATATATATAGCCTAGTACTATAAAGTGCTGATATGATACTATTTGTTGTATAGCAGCCTGTCATTCCTCTGCAAGAAAGGAGCTTCCTCAACAGTTACTGGTGTTAAGTTGGGCTGATGGACCTGATTTCCGCAGGGTTGCTTTTCTAACTTGGCTCAGGCATACTTCTTTCTGAAAGCATTTGTGCTAAGAGGAGCCTTTGGAAGGTGTTGTGTCGAAGACTTCTGGTTGCAGTAGATAACGTTTTTCTTCCCTCCCTTCTTTAAGAAGGTACCAACTTCTAGAATAGAAATGCTACAAAGACATTCCCCATTTGTTGTCTTTTGGTGCTGGTAGAGTATGTCTTTTGTCAGAAATGTTAAAGAGCATTCCGTGCTCTTGCATGTTCCATGAAGAAATTCATCCCCTATATTAGCTCTGATGCTTGGTACTCCTCCAGTTCTATCACCAGCTTATGAAGTAATTCATCTTGTATGATGCATTGTGAAATATAGATTTCTTTTTTTCTTTTTAACTGAGAAGATTGATTACTTGAAATGCATTTGAAATCTTAACCTCTTATTCAAGATTTTTCTTTTAAATAAAATATTTTTCTGTGTTTGACCTTTAGACTTGTCAAAATACGGTGAGGTTAAAGTATAAGCTTACATAAATGATAAAGTAGTTGGCAACTACTGTAATGCAGCTCAGCACGTTAGCAGAGTGTATACACTGCTGTTGAATTCCTGAGGAATTTTGAGTTGAAGTATTATTATTCATTGCTACCTTGTGACCTAAGGATATCAGGCACACTCTTTCAAACAGACATTTCTGATCCTACAAAAGAAAGCTGGCAACAGCAAGGTGGTCTGCTGATACAGGTATGAGAACAGCTTGTTTACTGATCAGAGAAAAATCACTACCAAACTGACAAATTACTGACAAATGCCAGCAATCTTCTTAGTGTGACCGTGCAGAAAACTGGCTTACATTAAACCATTGCAGCACCCATCCCAGCGTTCAAGACTCAGTAGTTTGTAAACAAATTGAGATTTTCCCTTTAAAAAATAGTAATTAATACTCAGAGAATTAGCTGCATGGAAGGAAACTGCGTACATATCAGGTCAAATAAGCCTGCTTAAAACGTTCAAAGTCACCTTCCTCTGGGCTGAAGGTGAAGAAAGTAGATCAATGTAGCCCCAGCCAGTGTGGTGCTCTGTGACTTTCCTGAAAGAGCTGAAAATCTTCAAGGCTCAAGGTTTTTTTTGACTGGATCCTAATATTGTTAAGCTTATGTGATAAATAGACTGCACCAAGTGAAGAGGGGACTTACTGCAGTATGTTGGTGACTTCTTCCCTAGAATGCAAACAGTTCTTCCATACAGGCTGAATTCAATATTTAAAAATCTGAGCAATGGGTTAATTATAAGACTGAAGGGTGTATAGTTTTATTGCTGTGATCCGAGAATCCTAAATTATAGGAACCAACCTCTCCCAAATAAAGTTATACAGCATATGTGGAAACAAAGATGTTTTTACTTTTAAATTATATTTTCTAATTTGATTTTGGAGTTTTTTGTGCTTTTAGAAGCAGGAAATATCTATTGATAGCCTTCATTTACTATAGCATGTTTTTCAAATGAGGAATTATCAGGGACTCTTATGTAGTCATTTGAAAAACCAATTTACAGATACATCTTTGGGAGCTCTCTGCTTTGAGCATCTTACGCGGTCCGCCTTTCAACTTGGAAGGTTGATCTTTGTTCTACACAAAATATTGAATACAGACTTTGATTTAACAAAATTTTGAGACTATAGGTGATGCTTTCAAGCATAGACAAGTTTTTTTTGCTGTATAGCCCCAACCCTTGCTCTTCTAACTGAAGCACCAGTTTACCAGGTCCTTCTCAAGCTGTTCTGGGGACAGCTGCGACTCTGTGTTCAGCAAGTGCCCACATGTCGAAAGTGAAGAGAGGCAAAAGAAAAAAATAGTGAGAAAAATCTAATGCTTGCATCAAATTACTCTTTTTGTGTGCATGCATTTCCCTTTTCTATGCATATTCATTTATTTGTACAACTTTTGGTTTTTTATCTCTTTTACCCCAGGAAATGGGGAAAATAAATGACCTTTGCCTGTCTCCTGTTCTTTGAAGTGTTTGTCATGTCTCAAATTCATCAGAGCTTCAGGGCATCTCAAGTCCTTCATAAACTTGAAGACTTTGTTTTCAGATACATAATTATCATATACAAAATGCAAGATGTAATTTGCTCTTTAGTTTTTTCATGGCCTGTACAACAATCTCTCTCTCTCTCTCTCTGGTATAGTAAGTTTGGACAGTCTAAGCAAAGATGCCCTTCTTAGTCTATTCTTTTTCCATATTACCTGTCCACGATTTGTTAGTCTAAAACATTTCCACAGTCCTCATGGGACAAGTTCTGAGTATAAATGAGTAATGATAAATGTACAACCCCTTTCTGTGCATCTTTTTTTTGATTTTTAAAGAATACACAGCACGCTCTGCTATTCTCATGTATGTGACGTGAGCTTTACCACTATTCTTTCCATTGGAAGATACAGCTGAGATACTGTTTCCTTTCAGGAACTTGAATAGTAATCTCTATTAATGACCTCTCTTTGGATCCAGAGAAACATGTACTGGTAGTTTGGTATTCTGCCAAAATTGTCACCAAATTCTTCAGTGTGCAAATGAGCTTCCCTCTAGAAGAGGGAAATGCTTACTCTCTAAAACGAGGTGGCAAAGGATATCTTGAAGCAGAGCCTTCTTTTTCAGAGCGTAACTGACCATTTGGAGCATTCCAAGATGGATGATTAGATGTAGTCCAATTTGGGATTTCTCTGTCCCTACAAGTCAAATGTTTCGTAGGCATCAAAGAGAAAATCTGCAATTTCAGAGGACTAATTGGGGAAGTTCAGGTGGTGACCTAATGTGAACAACTTCCTCTACAGTATAATTTGGGAGATTATGGAATGTGGGGCTTTTGTCTGTACTTGAAACTGAAGAATTTGAAATCCAGGCATAATCAGAAATTGTAGAGATGCAGAAGCAGACGTTTGATTTGTTTGCCTGTATATTAGTGTTTTTCTGCACTTTTAATGTGCAATTAATTTAAATCTTCATTTAAGATGATTTGTGAGAGGAAGTTTGTGTTGAGATACTACCTTTCAGCTTAGAAGATTTGGGGTAACTTCCGTCTGCCCCAAACTGGGTGGTCTTGGCAAATTTCTAATTCTCCCTTATTTGTAATGTCTGCAGACAGATGACAGTAATAGTAATATTTTGGGGTAATAATTTGTGGTATTTACTGTTTACCATAACTTAATTGTAGTAATTTTGCTGGAATGCTGTAAAACATTAGGATGTGAGAGATGCTTAGATATTATAGGAGACTTTAGACCTTAATTAAAAAAAAAGGCAGTATTAAATAAGATGTCAAATTCCAAGGTTTGTCATATTAATGATAAATAGTTCAAAAATGTGACTTCTAATGCAATTTTTTTTAATGAAAAGGATTTTTTTTTTAAAAAAGTCTGAAGTCAGAAAGTTACAACATTAAAAGCTTCTCTGATAGGTTTTTGAGAGCCCGCATGAAGAAGTTGCAGCAATGCAAGTCTGAAATTGTGATGCAGTTTTTTTTGTTCTTCCCCCAGGTTGATTCTGCTAACACTGGAAGAGTGTTAGCTTCTGATGCAGCTGCTTTCTTGAAAAAGTCTGGATTGACAGATTTGGTGCTTGGAAAGGTATTTACTGATTTAAGGACGTTTATTTAATCATCTTATCTCTGCTTCAGTTGTTATGCTGTGCAAATTAAAGTGGTCCTACAGGGTATACAGTCTTCCCTTGCCAACTACCTCTCAGTGTTGTAGAACATCTTTGTGTTCTCTATTTTTTAGATTTGGGACTTAGCAGATACTGATGGCAAAGGTATCCTGAACAAACAGGTAAGATAGTCTTTGTGATGAATGAAAGCCTTTCAATTACTCCAACTATTAGCAAACCTTGAAATAAGATAAAAAATAAAAACTCTGGTTCAGAAGGGCAATTTTTTAAAATGGATGTATTCTAAATTCTTTTTTTAGAACATATAATGGTTAAAAAAAAACCAATAAATTATAATGCCTTCAGGTACCTGATCTGTCTTTTCTTCAGGTCATTAAAGTGAGCCTCTATGTCACTGTGTAATGTAATATACTAAGAATTAAAGACTAATGTACTGTATGTTGTATTAGTATGAAGGTAACTTTCTGTTATCCTGGAGGAAACTTACTGTAAAAATATAAATTCTAGCAGAACTGCTTTCTCTTTAACATAACTGATTTTGATGGATTTCACAGCAGAATGCTTTGCTTCAAGTTATTCTTCCTTAGTTGTGGGTATAAGCTGTATGTCAGTCAGACTTGTGTATTAATTTTGTGTGTGATCTGCTGAAAAGCTGTAATGTGACTTGTGATGTTTGAGGGTTTGAAGAATGAATACTTAAATAGTGACTCATAGAGAGCTGCTTCATTCAATGGTAGAAAAAGGAGCATCTGTAGCATTTAAACATTTTCTTGAAACTTTCTCTGGTTGATGTCTTTGTGCTATCCCTTTTCTTCCTCTTGTTTCATCAAGTACTGTCTTTGGGATCAACTCAGTTCCTCCAAGATAAACATACGTAATTGCTACTGTAAATGTTCACTGCTCTGCCCTGGAAGAACTGAGTGCTTAAAAATTAAATCTAATTACACTAGAACACTTAGAGAAAGCAGCAAAGTGCTCAATTCTTCCAGTGAGACAAAACTTGTAATTACTTATTCCAACTTTGTGACTCCTTTTGTAATCCTTGGCAACCTTTTGTGTATATGGCAATTCAGAAGCTCAAGAGAAGCTCATTCTTTTGAAATTTGAGGATTTTTCATATGATAATCTTTTAAAAACTCTTTTTTTTTTGTAGGAATTTTTTGTGGCTTTGCGACTTGTAGCATGTGCACAGAATGGACTGGATGTTTCCCTGAGCAGTCTCAACTTACCTGTTCCGCCACCAAGATTTGTAAGATTTCTTTTTTGATGGGAAATCTCAATTAATAACAACTGCTTTTAAACAAACATTTTTAAGCATTGTTTTAAATAAATACTGAATATTCCTGAATGACGTTGGGCAAGGAGGAGGGCCATGAGGAATAAGAATAAGGTACTGAACGTTCCAGTGGGGATTTCTGTCAAATTATGTAAAATTAGCATATATAATATATAGTATATAAAAATATATAGCATATATAATGTTGCATATTCTATTGTTGATGGAATTAGAATTTTAAATTTCTTATTCTAACCTTTGGTATTCTTGATTAGGATACAAGTGATTAAAAATACAGTTCTAGCTTTGAAAAGTTGTGACCCCTCAAACAGGGGAGTGGTTGGAACCATTTTCCTTCTGATGTGTTTGTGTGTGTGTGTTCTGTTTTTCACTAGACTGATACTGGTAGTCCTTTGCTACTCAGTGGAGCAGCATCAGCTGATGTACCATGGGCTGTTAAGGTAAGCTGTAATATGTAAAGATCAGGCTATCAGTTACAGTTAGGTGGTTTGAAATAAAACACAATTCTTCTTGAAGAAAAGTGTAGTGATGGTGATAACTAAAGTATAAAATGAATGGCTATCTTTAATGCTGAATTACCATTCATGTCAAATCTGTATTTTGGCCAGTAGATCTTCTAATCTTATTAAAAACACTTGTCACTTGTGAAATCTCTTCACTGTGGGAATCTTGTTTTACTGGGAAAAATCATCTGAAGCCTAAGGTAGTTGAAGACAATGTAATTGGGATGAGTCTGACTTAAAATACTTAAAAATAATAAATTCTCTGTAAGGTATTTTTTCTGCTACTGTACATTTTTTGTTTGTTTGAAACTTAATGCTATTAATGCTATTTTTTTAGGTTCTGAGCGTGACTGGGCACTTTATTAAGCAATATTTATTTCTTCTGTCCTATGCAGCTTGAAGACAAGGCCAAGTATGATGCTATTTTTGATAGTCTCAATCCTGTGAATGGACTGTTGTCAGGTGATAAGGTGAAACCTGTGCTCCTTAATTCAAAACTGCCAGTGGATATCTTAGGACGGGTAAGGATGACTTTTTAGTGGATTGTTAATTCACAAAATCAAAACTACAATAAACTCGATGTTCATTCAAGTTTAAGATCTGTAATAATAAATCTCACTACTAAATATATTGAGCGTTGGCCCCCTTTCATGCAATTGTTACCTGTAAAAATGTTCTTTCATATTTTGTTAATCACCTCTCACTACAGTGCATCTGTTTTGCGCACACTTTTTAGGACAGAGCACCATTAAATCCTGCTTTCCCTCTTTCTCTCCTCTCATTCCCTTGTTCTTTTACCCAATGTATATCAATATATGTTGCTGACTGAAAAGTAATCCTGTTAGATTGATTGCTCCTGATTGCGATATCATGCAGATAGCTTGTTCTCACTCTTGTTTTTCATGAAAATTTGAGTAGGGAATCACAAAGTTTAGACAAACATTTCTGCAATCTCCTTTTTGTTGTTAGGTGTGGGAATTAAGTGATATTGACCGTGATGGGATGTTGGATCGAGATGAGTTTGCAGTTGTAAGTATCTCGTTCTTCTGCATTTTGGAATTTTGAAAGCCTAGTGCTTAATATGGATGTGTTGCGTGTTATTTTTTAAAAAAATCGGTTTCATTCAATGTCTTTATTCAGAGACCTGGAATCAGACTTTAATATTAGTTAATATTCTTGTCAGGTTATTCAGTTAAACTCTCGCATTACACACCAATTTCTTTGTGGGCCAAATGATCCGTTAAAAATGTAGATTAGAGCTGTGATCTGCTATGCCATGTGTGTTTTCACAGAATAGCCAGTCTTAGCTTAACCTTTAACGATTGTGTTCTTAATGCCTTGAGATATCACTGAGGGTTTTAAGTAGGTATAAATTCTTTACAAGTTCACAGCAAGTCAAAATTTGAACACTATTAGTGACAGACTAGATGAAATAACCTTATTTAGTGCTTGCTACCTTGTCTTTCCCCCAGGAGATAGTAAGGAAGGAGTGGAAGACTCTTTCTTTTGAAGGTTCTCATACGCTTTGAATGTCATAGTAACCAAATATTAACTTCTCAAAAGAGGAAGGAGTGGAAGACTCTTTTGAAGGTTCTCATATGCTTTGAATGTAATAGTAACCAAATATTAACTTCTCAAAAACTTCAGCTGTTTTTTTTTTTTATACGCAAATAAAGTGGAGAGAGAGCGGTTAGGCAGTCCATCTGAGGGAGAGATGCTTTAATTTTAGTTGAAAAATGTTTAATCTCACTTTAAAGGTTCAGCTAGGCTAACCCCATACTTTAAATGCATTCTGCATTGAAAGCTCATCCTTTCAGAGTCAAAGTTAAGAAATAAAACAAACCAAAATGTTTAATTGACAAGTATTGACTTTATGGACAACCTAAACCTTGCTTTGTTTTTTTAATTAATGCAAAATGTTAGTGATAACACAGATTTATTTTTGTTTCTGCTGTCCTATATATATTTTTGAGAAAGGATAACAGTTGCAGATGTTACTCTCATCGCGATTGTTTAGATGATCAGGTGTTACACGCTTCAGGTTCTTCTGAAACTAGTTCCTTTAAGTCCTTAGTGGTTAACTGTCATTAAACTTTATTTCCTGTATCTTGTGGCAATCAGCCTGTAGATTATGTGTCTGTGAAGTTGTTGCTATTTATACTGTAATTGTTCACATTTTTTAGCCTTGAGATTAGGCAACTGATATGATGCTGTTGCGAAATGTTGCAGGTAAATTAAATTGGCAGTATATAAAACGTTTCAAAATTAAATTTCTTCAAGTGCAGTTCTGTATTATTCAACAGCCATAAAATTCTCAAAATATGAAATGACAGCAAAATTTAGTGTTTCCTAGAAGAATCGTTAATATATAAAAATTAAGTGCTTCAAGTGTTTTCTCCTAAAATCTCACATATGGTGATTACAAGCCTGGTTATGGTTAGGAGAATCAGTTTAAAGTTATAAAGGTACTTCGCTAACATTGAACCTAATAGGGTAAGTGAAAAGAAAGTCAGAAATCAGTAAGAATAAGGGGAAACCTTAATGAAAAGATGCTACTTAGTAATCTGTTAACTATCTTTTTTTAAATATGTGTTTTTATTTTGTATATATATACATACACACGTGTGCGCACACACACCATCATGCATTAGGGTGCACACCTTGTTTTCATGTTCAGGCCATGTTCTTGGTGTACTGTGCTCTGGAGAAGGAACCAGTGCCAATGTCCCTGCCTGCAGCTTTGGTGCCACCATCCAAGCGAAAACCTGTTAGTGTTCCAGGAGCGATGCCATTAATTCCATCTTCATTGTCTGCGAAAGAGTCTCATCAATCCTTGCCACCTGTAGGTGTTTTAGCTGCCAAAACACCATTAACACAGGTAAATTATCGAGTGATTCGGGGTTCAGTTATACCTGTCCTTAATGTTGTGCTTTGGAGTCTGCCTGTATGAAGAGTCTTGATACAGCGGTGGTGTGTGTGTTTGTTTTAATTTCCTGTTCCTTACCATATTGATTTGTTGATAAATTGAGGAGGTCAATGAGAAGACTGGATTATGAGAATGGCTGACATTAATTTATCTTGTTTACATTTTTTGGATGCCTTCGGATATAAATATTTGGTTTGGAAAAAAATACCTTACTTAGCAAAGACTTGGAAGATTGTTTAACAATAATATTTCAAAGTAGCAGTAGTAAGTTACTTCAAATTGGTACAAAGGTCAGAGTTTTAAGAAAACAGTTCAAAAGTATAGTTCAGGTACATGTCTGGAGAACATACAGCTGTTCTGGTTGAAAACTGACTTGAATATAGACAGGTTCTTCCAGCAAATTAGCATCCATGGTAGGTGTGTGATTATATATGTGTGCATGCATGCAGAGTTTGAAAAAGACATTAATAAAAATAGAACAGGTAAATGCAAACAATGAGGAAATGAGACAAAAAGGTTTGGCATAGTCACCTCAAAAAATATGAGGTCTGGAGTTTGTCACAAATGTTGCTTGAAGTTTTGGGCACCCATGTTTGAATAGTCAATAGGAATTTGGCACCTCTTTGGTACTTTTTGGTGTTTTCCTTTGGGATATCTGGGTTTCAGGGAATGTTTGATGTATTGACAAGGAGGTAAAGCAGTACCCACTAGCCTGAGTATTTACTGATGTAAATATCTTGCTTCTGTATTTAGAGTTGATTGAGGATCTCTGTACATATCTCTTTTGGAGGATAAAAGTAATTCATGAGCTAGGCACCTATATCACTTTTTAAATGTGTGTTGTAGTCTTTGAATTATATAACTCCCAAAGAAGTAATCTGAAACACTACAGTTTTCAGTAAACAGTTTTCAGTACTCAAACAGATCCATCTTTATCTTAATAAGGGGTGTGTGTGTTTGTTTCCTTTCCCCACAGTGGGTTGTATCTCCTACAGACAAAATGAAGTATGATGAGATCTTTGTGAAAACTGACAAAGACATGGATGGCTTTGTGTCAGGTGTGGAAGCCAGAGAACTGTTCTTGAAGACGGGGCTGCCTTCTGCTCTGCTTGCCCATATCTGGTAGGAATTTTTTCAGGGGCAACTATTGAGACAATGGGATGGATCTCAATCATTCTCAGTAGTTTTCATGAAAAGTGCTTTGTTGATACTTCTGGAAAACGAAGGGTTTGGTTATACAATAAAGTGCTCTGTATGAGTAGTGGTAACTTATTTGTTTCTACTTTTGAACTGAAATGGGGTGAAAACCAATTCATTCTATGTGTTGTCATGTTCTAGCTGGAGCAGAGGAGAAGCCTCAACAAATGCTGGACTTCAATAAACAATCCTCTTTAGGGTGTTACAGTGTTATTCTGCATCAGGGCTCAGATGCACTACCCATACCCATGTGATAGCAATTGTCTGAGCCCTGATACCCATACCCATGTGATAGCAATTGTCAGTGCAAAACTCTTATTGTGCAAAACATGAGGCCTGTGTAGTTCTGTAGATTGCTTTGGTCTCTTACTATCACCAGCAGTGATACTCACGTGTCTCTTTTTTTTTGTTGTTTTTATGCCTCCACAGGATAAGCTAACATAGGCCCTCTTAGGAAAAAATCTGTTTTGGAATACATGCTTAGTATAATCTCTAGTTTAGGAAAGTTAGAGAAGTTTGTGTTGACTGTAAGAGCTTCTTTCTTTAGCAGGAACAGTTCAAGATACTTGGGTGTTCCTAATGATTCACAGGCTAATTCTGCCTTTCAGCAGATCCAGAACCAGCTCTAATGGAACTGTACACCTTGGCATGAAAAGAGAAAATGGTTGTGTATGTTTAAGTAATGCTTCGTATTTATTACTAAGCCCACCTCCTCCACCACGTTATTTAAATAGCACTAGCAATTTTCAAAGTTTTGAATGACAGCAAGTACAGTAAGCAAGGTTCAACTTGCAGAAATTAGGGTTTGATTTGTTTCATATCTGTACAGGGCTCTCTGTGACACGAAAGACTGCGGAAAGCTTTCAAAAGAACAGTTTGCCTTGGCTTTCTATTTAATTAATCAGAAGTTATCAAAGGGCATCGACCCACCTCAAGCTCTGACTCCAGAGATGATTCCACCTTCTGACAGGGGTGTCAGTTTACGGAAGGTAAGGATGAGTTTGGCATTTTGGCACGATCTCAAACATAAGAAAAGGTTAATTTCGAAGGCTACATAAGAAACAGATCAAGTACTGGCATACCTTAGGTCTAACATAATACCAGAAGGAAAACAAGTCGTAATTACAAAGAACACTGCTCCATGCATTTTCCAAAATGAAGTTGCCATTTATTGCACCTGCCAACCAAGCAGAGAGATCTTATGTTGAGAAAGCATGATTTTCTATTTTGAAAGAATAATCCTTTTCCTGCCTGTCTCGAGAAATTTTAGTTTGCATCTGAAATAACATGCACAAGTTTAATGTTTTTCTCCTAATGTCTTTACAGTTCCTTTTTTTATATTTCTTTTTGAAGAAGTCTCAAAATGATATGAACTATTAAAGTTGGAATCGGCTATTTAAAGTTTCAAAAATAAAGGGTCCAACTATTTTTATGGTTCAATGACAGTTAAAATGTCTTCCTAGCCTGTTGAGTGTCATATAGTCTACTGCTGGATCAAGATACATCTCAGCTGTTGAAGTTGTAGTTATCAGAATAATAGAGGTCATAGCAAATTTATACTTGCTTTACGATGTGTAAGGCCTGATGTGGATTACCTTTTCTTGGTTGTGCAAAGCATTGACCTAATTCTACAACTTTCTTAAACAGAATGAAAACTTTTCACCCTAAAAAATGAGAAACTCAAAATTTGGCACTGCTTTTGAGTTTCTGTAATTGGTATCTAATTTCTTTTTACATTCTGTTTTTAAAAAGTAATTGTTTTATTTGCAACTCTACTAATCTTTTTTTGTATGTTTGCTTTCCTTTCTATGTCTCTTTTCTAGTTTGGACTGTTTTTTCCATTCTGCACCACTCTGCTTTTCATCTTTATTATTCTGTCAGTTTGTTAACTCTGCTTTCTCAAGGTTAGAGAATCTTTGCTTTTCTAATATTTACTGTCTGTTGGTTTAATAATGAGCATTCTTCTAAGATGCTTAAATAATCACTGAAATAGCACAGCACTTCTCTCAAGTGTCACAGTATGTTGCTATCTCAAAGTATTGCTGATTTCCAGTGCTAGTCATCTGGAAGAATCCTGACTGACACAGTGTGTATTTAGTGTACTCCTGTGTAGAAAATGTTTTGTGGGGTGAATCTCTGTGGCTGTTATGTTGATAACGTGTTGCTTAAACTTAAAACAGAATATGTTTTATCACTTTGTTATGACTTCCCCAGCAGTTCCAATATATTTTCCCGAAGTGACAGTTGAGAGTTATAATTAGGACTAATACTCTTGCTTTTACTGAATATATTGCAGAAAATGTAGTGATCAAAGCATATTAGATGAGATCAGCATTGTTTACTGCTATTCTGTGTGTATATTGTTTTCATAGAACTCTTAAAGACATCAGTTGAATTTTGCAGTGATTTTGCTTTACTAACATACAAGATAAGAGTAAGAATATTTTGAAAGAAGGTAAGAGATGTCTTTTAGTTAGCTCTGTAAATCCTTACCATGAATTGATTTTACTAAACTGAGCCGAAGGTACAGCTCATTTTGAGCTTTTTCAAAAGAGATACTGTCTTGTTTGTTGATATGAAAGAACTTCCTTGCCTGAGATTATTGCTCAAGGACTGAATCAAAGAATAAGAGTAGTAGAGAGAGAACTTCTTTTTAAGTGGTGTGTCTTAAAGAGTAAAAACTGTTAAACTTCCTCTTCTGACTTGACAGATATAAACATAGTAGCAGAAATACCAGTAAGTATAAATGTAATGGATTATGTTTTAGGGCAGGAAAAGTCATTTAGCAATTTTTCTTGGTAGATGTTCAGAATATTTATCCATGTATATTGCTGTTATCTAATATTTGGTTTCTTTAGAGAATTTCAGTACAATACTGGAATTGTACAGTGTTGAACTAGTTGTACTAGTGTTGAACTAGTATTTTTGCCTTGAGTACAAATCTCCTAAATAAGAAATAGCAGCATTCTAGTATTTGTTGCTGTTTCTTTGCCAGATCAGTCCTGTTTGTAGTTGTCAAATTTGCATTTGTGTTACCAGCTTTAAGACTTAAAAGGAGCTTGCATGTAAGTTCTAAAGGAATTTTCATCACATCTGAGTGAAAGCTTGGCTTCCCTCTTCATTCTGTCTTGATGGAGTCCTGCTCTTTTGAGCCAGAACTCCGAAGCATTGTTTGCACGTGTCGCAGTTTGTTAAATGTCAGTGAATAGTTCTAACTTTTGTCTTTAACCTTGTCTTGCCTTGTATATTGAATTTAAAAATACAGCTTTTTTTTTTCTGTTTTCCTTGCTCAAGTTATCCTGAAAAATTGAAAATAAGATTGAATTACATTTTTTATGGTTTTATGCTAGACTCAATGTGCAGAATTTTTAGTAACGGTTGAAAGGTGAAAACCCAGAAAGAATTTTTACAGTTTAATTTGTACATTAACCAGTTTAAGAATGACTGTATGCTTTTAATTCTCAGTTCATATCCTTTACTCTATAAAATATAGCAGTCTCAATCTCCTGTTGAATAACACTCTCCCACAGTATGCTCAGATTTACCAGTTTGCCTTTTTTTTTTTTTTTTTTTCTCTCCTCCTCTTCTAACAATAAGTTTGAATAAAAACACAGCAGGTAATATTTGGCTTGTTTCCAAATAAACCTGGGAATTTAAAGATTCTTTTTCCTTTTTATTTGTGCTTTTGAGAATCCACATGATTAATAAAAATTAATAATACATATATGTACATGTGTCCTGGATAATTTTATCCAAGACTTGAAGGAAATGATCTATTTATAGAAGTGAGTATGGCTTTCTAAATATGTTCATGTTGGGATAAGGCACACTTGAATAATTAGTGTTTGCCAATTTGTGTCTTCAATGTTTATTCTGCATCATTTATGTTGGTTTTTTTTTTAATAATTTGATGTGTTCTTTTTACAATAGAGTAAGTAAGGAAATAGCAACTCCTGGGTCAATGTTATCTATGCCTTATCTATGTCTGTATCATCAAGGTTTCAGGCAGCGCCCTGGTGGTTCTTGTTGACCTAGCTTGATATAACTCAAGCATCACAATTCAAATGTCAGTTGTCTGCAACATGAGGATCACCAGTGAAATTCATCAAGGTTTCAGGCAGCGCTCTGGTGGTTCTCGTTGACCTAGCTTGATATGACTCAAGCATCACAATTCAAATGTCTGCAACATGAGGATCACCAGTGAAGAGGTTTTTTGCCACTTTTAAATGAGTGCAAGGAAGACAGCTAAAATAACTTAAAAAAAACCCCTCATATTGTAAAATTAGTTTATTATTATTAGTTATTTGGGTTTGGTATGATGGTATGATCAAGTGATCTTGTGCTTTTGTGGAAAATGTCATCAAGTGTTTCCAGGAGATGTAAACTCAGTTTGAGTTGCTGGATGCATTGAGTATGCAATGTGTTCTGTGAATCTAGCATCTGCTAGATTAACTGCTTTTAACGGTTCAAGAGTCTGAATTTAATATAGCAAGGAATTGTTATTTTCTGTGATGGCACAGGCTGTCCTGTCATAAAGTGAAGATAGCAGTCAGCATAAGCTATAAACTAATAGTATTTATTTTTGTATTTTTCAGAGCACTCAAGGACCGAGTTCTGCAGCAGACTTTTCTGCAATTAAGGAACTTGACACATTAAACAATGAAATAGTAGACCTGCAGAGGTAGGTAAAGGAGGAATAGTTTTAGCTGCCTTAAATTCAGTTGTTTCTTGATGTTCTTCTAAAAACAATTCAGCACATACGGAAAACTCTGTATGTAGTACAGCCTGCTTTGCTAGTGCCACTGGTGAATATGTCTGTAAAATGGCTCTGGTGTTGCGCTGTTTAACTCTTCTGCTCTTTGCTCACTCAACGAGTGTGTTTAATAGCAGCACGACTGTGAAAGGGTCCCCCTTACGCCTTCTGGGCATGTGATTGTTGCATATTCTAGCATCACAAGATTGAAACCTCTCCTTTTTTCATCTCTGACAGACAAGAATAGAACTGATCTTTAGTGTGTTGGACCCATGATATAAATTGGTACCAGTGACCTTTTATTTCTGGACTCCTAAAGACTTTTTCCCAGTGGAGACAGGGAAGTGAGACAGGAAGAAACCTAGAAATATGCAGGGCAGAGAGTGGGAAGATGGCAGTTTGCATATGGGCCTCTGCAAGGATTTTTGTAAGGGTAAAGATCATGCTCCTGTTCTACTTGGCTAAATAAATGATTGCACTGGGAAGAATGCTTTTTAATTCTAAACATTCCATTAATAATTTTAAGGTAATTTATGAACTTCATTTTCTTAATGTTGTACAGTCCTTGCAGGTATATTTCTCTGTTGATTTTGGTACTATCACAAATCCACTGTAGACTTTTTCTACCAAGAACAATCAGTTAATTCTAGAATCTTACATTTAGGATGCTTTGCCATGAGGAAATTTGCCTGTCTTAATCATGTCACTTGTAGGAACGATTTAATTTGGCAACGTGTCAAAGCACAGTCTGTTTCCTAAATACATAGATGATTTTAACTTCAGTGACTGCTTGTTCTCTGTTATTACTCCCACTTTCTCCTCACTTCACCCTTGTATGGTTTCCTCTCTTTTTGTTTAGGTTCTCTTAGTGCTAGTTCTGGACTCATATTAACTTGAAATTTAATTTACAGAGATGAATTAATTTGATCTCTGCATTTTAGTGAATGATTTATTTTCTTCTAACATGGAGTTTTAGATGAAACCTTTTTTACCAGGTGTGCTTGCAGCCTAACATGCAAGCTGGTCTGTTATATTTTGGTGGGTTTTGTTTTGTTTTTCTTTCCGCTGTGTGGTATGAAGGAACCACGTCATTTGGGTAGTCATTGCTTCCACTTCTTTATTAGCACATATATTTGGACAGTTATTTAAGACGCACTTGAACGATATTAGATTGTTTGCAGCCTGCTTTGAAGGTGTGGTAGGGGAAATACTACTATGTTTTTAAACCTAGAGAAGGGAAACTTCCTTTAATATGCTTTAGAGGCCCAGAATAGGACTTGATTGATAATCAAGGCTTAATCCTGTATTTCAAACCAAAGTATAATAGTAGAAGAGATTTGTGCTGTTGCACTGAGAATGACTGACAGTCTGGCAATACAATAAAATGAACTGTAGCTCCAATAAAAAAAAGAAAAAAAAAAGAAAAGGAAATAAAAAGAAAAAAGGGGAGGGGGAAGAGGAATTAACATTTTTGACTTAGAAATTATTTAGCTGCTATAGAAGTGTTATTTTTGTAGCAAAGTAAATATTACTGTTCTGTGCGTTTCCTAAGCACAGGTGGCCATGAGAGATAACAGGAATGTCAGCGTTTTTTTTTTCATTTTTTGGGAAATCCATGTTTTTAAGTAGGACTGGTTTTGTATGCCAAATCCCAGTGTATCCCAATTCCAGTCTTAATAGTTCTCTTACAGAAAGGTAATCGAAACTTAGCCTATTTTGTTCATCAAATTTTGTTCAGCTTTTTTAATGAGTATGTCATGATGTCATGACTCCACTGAGATGTCTCCAGGAGAGTTGCATTTATGAGATTTAGTAGTAGAATATTGGATCCATTTTTGAGGTGTACAACTTAAAGCAAACTTGCAAAATCCCCACCCAGCCTGAAAGAGCAGAGGAGCAAATAAGATAATCTGAAGAATGATAGTGTCTGGAAAACATGCTTCTGAGAGACTGAGCAAAAGACTCAAAGATTATGTGTTTATGGTTTACCAGTTTACAGGTTGGTAATATAACTGAAAGCCTTTTTTTTTTTTGAATCTAATTCAATTAAAAAAAAATACTATCAGGAAGATGAAGCATGAGAATCAAATGAATAAATGCAGAGCACTTACTAGTGAGGACAAATCCCCAGCGATTTGCCTAGGGATGTTGTGGAACTCGCATCATTTTAAGCCTGTCAGCACTGCTGCTTTCTTCAGAAGCCTTCTAAATTCAGTTTCAGTTGCAGTATATTTTTAGAAAGCTATCTGTGAAGCTTTTTTTGATCAGTATTGTGGGAGGCTAGACCAGATGTTCTTAATATTCCATTTGGGCTATAAAACCTCTTTTTGTTCCCCAGCAACCATGCTTTGCTTTTGTGCATTCAAAGCTAGCTCTGACCCACTAATGAGTTGGAATTCTTCAACTTTAACAATGCCGTGTTTCTCTCTGAGCATGTAAGTAGTTGAGCTTGATTTCGTAAGTCTCTCCAGAGCTGTCACCCTTCATATATGCTGGACAGCAACAGTTATGTGATTAGATACAAGCCAGTATTTAAAAGGACTGTAAAGCTGCTAAGTCAGTATCTCAAAAATAAGGAAATGGCAGATTGTCTCCAGAAAAACAGGGCAACCTCTCCCTGCTAGGCACTAACATCAGGTTGTTTTTCTCAAGGTCAGAGATCTACAGCTTCTTAGCAAAGCAGTGATAAGAATTTTAATGTATGGTAGGTGCTTTCTGCTAACCTCCATCTTGGAAGTAACCAAGAATTGTAGTCCAAAAATACGATGCGAGGAAAAGAGGGGGAAGAGAAACTAGACAAAGTCTGAACCTTTCCCTCCAGCACTGCCAAGCTGAAGTACTGCAGTATGAATTTCCCCACCTATAGATGTGTGGGAAAGTAAGAATGTGTGGCAAGATGATGGTACTAGCTTTGTCTCCAGTCATCCATCATTAATTATAGAAAAGGACCATGATTTTTTTCTAGCTCTTGTAGCTAATGTGGTTCTGTGTGTTGGCAAGGACATGACAATAAGTCTGGACAGGGTTGTTTCCTATTTGGCCTGAATGCATCAGTGGACTTGAGACTCTTCAATTGTCAGCTGCCACAAATGCTTGTAATGACTCCTATTCACAAATGATTGTACTCCATTCACAAACTGGTATAAATTGCCTGGATTTGCTGTGATTATTTGCTTGTAAATAATGAAATATCTATGCTACTTTAAAGTAATTGTCTTTAATTGATTTGTTATGAGGTTCTTCTGACCTGATTCCTTAAAAAATATGTAGGTAAAACGTATTGTCTTCATAAATTGATTGAAGCTGGTTACAAATGTCCTTTGCTGACAAGACCAGAAGTTTTGTTTTGTTTTTATTTTTATTTTTATTTTTCTTCGAGTGCCAGTATGGGGCATAATGAGCCAAGAAAATTGTCCTAACCAATAAATCAATTATTTGTTGCTTGTTTTTGGTATTTTCTGTTATTGAGCGTTAGACAGCATTATACAGGGCTATACCAAATAGTTTGCGGAAGAAATGGAAGCCTTCGGAAGGGTTAGTGAATAGAGTAGACCTCTGTGGTGCCTTTTTTTTGAAACAAAGGTGCATTACTGTTTGGGGGGAATGGGTATCTGCAGATGCTTGACATTGAACTTGTTTTCCTTTGTCCAGGACCGCTGCTTGGGGTTTCTTATTCTGTCTGGCTATAATTCTTTCACTCAATCTTTCCAGTTAGTTGCTTGCCCACCGTTTGGCTGGTGCAGGCCAGCTGCAGGCGTGTATTGGAGCCTGCCATCCGCATTCCAAGGCTTTGGAACCCGACTATGCCTTGGCTATTAAAATACAAAGGTGCCTTAATTTTAATGACACTTTGGTAATATCACCTAATAGCCTTTCACTATTTGTTAGATATGTTAGGTTTACCATATAAAACAAGCATTAACTTGTAGTATGTGTGTTAATAATTAAACCTTTTAATAAAAGCATCCACTTAGAGAATAATTGACGGATGCAAAAGTTACTGTTGCAGCTGTAAAGCATAGTGCTTTTCTGCATCTGTGAAAGAAATGTGCACTGTTTAGAGAGAAGCAGATTTTTAAATTAGCATTTTCTAAGTTGTGTGTCTACATTTTTTTTTCTCTTTTTCATTTCTTAAAGCTATTGTTATCTTTGACTGTCAAGAATTTATTGGTGATAATTTCCCCATCAGCACTAATCACTTTTAGGCCCAAATAAACATCTATAGGGACAGACGACATGACACAGCAAATAACTATGTATGGAGTATCTCAGCACATACTGATTACAGCAATCTAATGTCTTTTCTGACTGAGGTTACCCACAATGATATCTAAAATCTGATAAGCAAGGTTAATTAATCAGCTAGCTTGGCCTCCTGGAAATGTTTCCTAGCTGCTCACAGTGCAGGAATTGCTGTGTTTGCAGGGGTTAATAGGCAGAATCTGATGCAATCCCTCCCACTTTTTCCCAGCCGTTTTCATTAGGCAAGTGCTCCATAGCAACAGTGAGATCACTGAAGAGGGTTTTTCATTGATTTCTCCTCCTGCCCCCTTCCATTTTTGAGCCATTCTTATCACTGAAGTGCAGTTTGGTGAAAAGACTTTTTTTTTAATGCAGAACACTTATGTAGGCTTCTGTCTTGTAAATAATTTGGGAAGCAGAAATCCTCTACCTCTTTTCTGTGTTTAATGTTTCACTATGTATTTAAAGAGAGATACAGGTTTAGGAAGCTGGATAACTGTACCTGCTGTAGCTGATGTTCTTAAGTATTCTTGCATTGTTTGCTGGTCTTCTAGGGAAAAGAATAATGTAGAGCAAGACCTGAAGGAGAAAGAAGATACCATCAAACAGAGGACAAGTGAGGTCCAGGTAAATAAGACTGCTCGGATATCAGACCCTGAATCGTGTGGTGTTTTACTGGCAATGGGATTACTGAATCTTAAGATTGCATCACTTATTTGGTAGTGGTTAAGAAAAATGATATTTTGGAGTGTGTTTTTTATATGAATGTGTGTTGGTGGGGAGCTTATTTATGTAAATGCATGAAGTCTTAGAATGTGTAGCCTTATGGAGTTTTAAATCAACGCAAATGTATTTAATGTGTAATTCAAAGTGAAGATGACACTAGTATTGCAAATTAATAAACTCTTAAGTGGTTGAATCGTATGGACTTGTATGTGGGACTGCTTAAGTGACAGTAATTGCCAGCTTTTTGCCTTAAGTTAATTTGCCTGATATAGGCAAATTCAAAAATAAGATTTCTCTATTTAATTAAAAAGATGGAATTGAACTTTGAAAAATACTCATGAAATTAAGATTTTCTAATATTTCAAATGAATTAAAATCTATTTGGTAGGCATCAGTGTTCAGCATGCTAACAGCCTAGCCCTGAATTAAATGCTGCAAAGCAGTATTTCAGTTAAACCATAATCTGCAAAAGCAGCTGCCGTTGCTGCATTAAACGAAAAAAACTTCAGTGTGATCTAGATTCATTTTAAGAATAGCAGTGGAAACTACATTATTTAGTTAAGAATAAATAATGCAAGATTGCTGCATTTTACTTTGTGTCGGAGAAAAAGAAGCCTACATGTTACCACTGTTGTGCATTTTGTGCCTGGGTATTTAATACTTTTCAAGCCCGGATGGTAGTGAATAGTGTGACCTTTCAGCAGGTAATCTAATGCTGGCTCTTAGTCACAATGGCAGCCAGCTCCAGCAGCTGAAGAAATGCAGAGAGAAGTTGTCCGTGCCCTGATTTCTGTCTGTGCATGCAGTGACCGTTCCCCTCCTCACTATGCAGATTACCTTTTCACGCTATTAAAAAGTCTTATTAGTGTTCTTATTGGATGTGCATACTGGATGATAACAACTGTGTGTCTTGGCTGATAATTGTCTTAGTGGGCTCTGCAATTTCCATGTGTGCTCGTGTGAAGGTTGTCCTCTGGCATCTTTTTCAGGAGAGATACATAAAGCTAAATCAAAAGCCTCAGATCTATTTGCTGTTTTAGAAGGCCTAAAACGTTGCAGCGTTAGTGTGATCTGTGTATGTTTTTCATCTACTCTTTGATAGTCAGCTGCATCCTGGAATCAATGAAACCATTGTGCCCAGAGCAGTGGAAGCCACTGTCACACGCCCTTAACCTCTTAGTGATCACACAAGCTATTTGTCCCTTGTTAAATGTGGAGTTCTGTCAGTCTGCAGAGAAGGGACAGTCTGTTACTGGCTGCTCTGAGAAACGACATCCCATCAGCATCAAATGGGGTATGGCTGCAGCTTGTGTTTGAGCTGTGGTCTTTTATCTGCTATCTCCTGTTAGTCCTTAATGTTGGAGGACCTGCTTGGTGAAACTTTCTAGAACTTCAGAAAATGTTGGTGACAGACTTTTTTCTAGTAGTGGCATTTTTAAAGCCCACGTACAAACCCACCATGATATGAGCGCCACCTTTGATGAGGCTAATTTAGTGGCATCTTTCTCCGGGATTTGTGGTACCAGAGTTACTTTCATGGACACTAATGATAATTTCACAAATAACACAAATTGTGGGTTAATTCTACAAGAGGAAGAATACAATTTTCTCTATAATATATTAGCAGCGAGACACGGCCTTAAGCAGAGGGCCTCCAGTCACATCCGTGTGGTTCCGATTGCCCACCTAGCACCTCACACGCACGGGTACGGTCTGTCAGTGTAACTGCCTGTGCTCCTGCCAACATCTAGGTTCTTAGCACTTGAATCATATCATTAACAGCAGTCTGACAAGCTATTAAACCCATTGTCTATCCTTCTGTGGAAATACAGATCTTTTGAGATTTCTTTGTCCTATACTACATAGCTGTGGAGAGTTATCATGATTATAAACTTGATATCAAGTTTGCTATTACCACAAAAATGCCACTTTTTGTACCATCTCAAATATGTTCATTGCTTGAATATGGGATCTCATTCAGTGCCTTTTTCCCTGAAATCAAAGTTTAATTGGAGTCTTTAATTGGAGTTTAGTTTATGAAGATATGTCTTAGAGCATTTCCTCTAGTTCTGCATAATACACCTACTCTGACCTGTTATTACTTCTGGGGCAGCCATGTGATCATGAATTTCTTTTCTGGGAGCTGTCAGATTGAGTCAGTGACCCTACTGCTGTGCCTAGGAAGCACATTAGGATTCAAGAAGGATGTAACAAGACTGGGGTTATCTATATTTAGCCTGTGTGTATGTAAATGCTTGTTCCTTTTAGAAAAAAAGGACACTGTAAAATCCCTTTAAGCTGTTTCTTTTTTACCTTTGTGCTTATGTTGAGGTTATTTCTTCTCAAAGTGATTTAAAAGATAAATTTATCAAGACAACAAGACAGTCTCCCAACTAGCCAGGCCACTGACTGCTGTTAGAGGTCAGTGTTTGTTGATTTTTCTATAGATTGGAAATAATCAGCAAATCTTTTAGTCTGGTACAACATTAGTCATGTAATTTTAACTACTTATTCCTTTACTGAATCTTACTTGTTTTTAATTTTTTATCTTTAATCCATAAAAAACTCCTCTTCTGCTTTGAAGACCTTAGGTATAAAAAGATATATTTCTTCGTATGTTCTGTCCCAGTTGTCAGTTGCCTTGAGGTTTCCCATTTTCCTAGTGTCTGACTGCTGCAGCGTGGCCTGTTTGCCTTGTGCCAGATTTGACCACATTTGGCTTTTTTTGTCCTGATTGCTTGTAAGTGTGTCAACACACGTGGATAAATTATGTTAATCACCAAAACAAATAATTTAAAAGGACAAGGAATCTCGTGCTTGGAACAACAGAATGTTCGTATCTATTTAAAAAAAAAAAAAACACTTCGACTTGATTTCTTATCCTCCTTTTTTTCCCCTCTCATGATTCTTCCTTCAATTATCGTATTTTCCTGAAAAACTGCAGCCTTCTCTTTGTATCTGATAATTCTCGTTGTATCAGTTTTCTTATTTCCCTGGGTTTTCTCTTCCTCTTGACTATCCTGTCCTTTTCCTGAATTCTTGTCTTTTATTCTCTCTAGCATTACCTCTACAGTTTTAAGTTATTACTGTTGATCAGAAATGAACTAATTACTGTATGATGCCACTCATGTACTTAAAATACATTATATCTAATTGTTGCTGCTTCATAGGCTAAAAGATGTCATACTCGCATGGATGGAATATGAATTTCTTTCCAGTACTTTTCCTTCAAAATAACTAGCACAAAATCAGAGGCAGGGAGACTGTTGAAAAGGGTGCAGTGTGGGGTGATAATATACGCGTTTTATTCTTTACTACTCTGCTACAGTAAGTTTGTGTCTTTGATTATATATTTTGTGGAGGAAAGGAGCACAATAAAAGATTTCTGTTATAATCATTAAATTAGTATTTTAACATATTGCCAAAATATGGGAGAAATATGATGTTGCAATATGAACTTCTATATTTAAAATGGAACCCTAACACTCTTTATGGATGAAATGTTTTATCTTTGTATCATCTTCAGTATTTCATTTTTTCTTAAGGAAAAGCAGATAGCCTGTGTATTTCTGTCTCAGAACAGAAACCTCAAAATATTTGCTTTTCTGATGTGTTATAAATCTTAGTCTTATTCTGTTGAAATGTGAGGGACTGGTACTGCAACTTATACTACAGAATATTACAGAATTTAGTGGTCTAAAGAGGGAGGTGGGAGAACACCAAACCTGAAGCAAATCTGTTTTATTGTAGGATCTACAGGATGAAGTGAAACGGGAGAGCAGTAATTTGCAAAAGCTGCAAGCTCAGAAACAGGAAGCACAGGAAATCCTTAATGATCTTGATGAGCAGAAGGCTAAGCTGGAAGAGCAACTTAATGATATCAGGCAGAAGTGTGCAGAGGAGGCCCATTTGGTAAGACCATGGCTCAGACCCATGGCAAAGCAAATGTCTCATTTTGAAGAAAATCATGTTGCAGTATCTTACTGCTGAGGAAAGACAAAACATTTTAAATAAATACATCATGAATTTCTGAATTTTGTGACCTGCAGAGAATGTCGCTCACCTAGGTGATGTGTGCCAATAATCTAGGCAGAACCATGAGGTTGTGCGCAAACTATAGATGTAATTTGAAGCACTTGTGGAACTATTTTTCTGCCAGTTTTCCCCCCCCCAAAAATCTTAGTCATATAGATTTTTTTCCTCTCATACATATCTACAGTATTTCCTTGTGGTATAAAATAACATTTCCAATATTGGAGATATCCATGTTGGTTAGAGCGGGGGCCTGGGGAGGAAAAAAGGAAGGCCATGATTTCATTGACACGTATAGGGAATTAACCTTTTGTTCAGGTAGGATTATAATGTTCAGGTTAGCTGTGTTTTTTCTTTCTTTTTTTTTTCCCCTTCTTATTATGGTCAAAAATAATATTTTTTGCTAGATGTGTTGTGTATATATATATATTTTTTTTTTTTTGAAATTTGGCTTTGAAATACTTGCTCATGCTTCAGATTGCTGTGCTGAAGGGTGAATCTTCAAGTCAAGAATCCAAGATTTCAGCATATGAAGATGAACTAACCAAAGCTCAAGAGGAGCTGAGTCGCCTGCAGCAAGAAACTGCAGAGCTCGAGCACTGCATAGAGTCTGGGAAAGCACAGCTGGGACCTCTTCAGCAACATCTGCAAGATTCACAACAGGAAATCAATTTAGTAAGGCAATACGAAAAACAAACATTTTAGCTGACAACTTTTTGTGTTGGAGGGGTGTTTCTTTTTAAGGGAGAGTGTTCTCCTTTAGTTGATGTGTTCATGAGACACTATTTTTTCCTGTTGAAGAGATATGTAATGTATTATTTTTTTAACATGACTTTCTGTGAGATACAGAGAATGAGAAGCAAATAAATAGGTTTTCCATCTTTTCATTGGAGGTAAACTGTGGTATTTCAGTATGTCTCCATATTAGCAAGAGGTGCTTGAGATGAACAGATTTGACACAGGCATTAGAGATGCCTAGTTATATTTTCCTGTACCTTTTTAAAAAAAAAAATCTTTTTTTGTGTGTTTTATATTGTTACTCTTGGTTTCGTTGCTCTTGGCTCACAAAGAGGCTCAACAATAGGGACGTAGGTGCTTTCAGCAGGGTTAACTACTGGATGATCTGAGCTCTCAAAATTTTAAGTCAGATTTGTGCTCATCTCAGATTTATCCTTTGATTTGAAAGAACACAGATTTGCTGATTTGGAAAACAATTATTTCTTTCCCTTTCTATTTCCCAATCTATTCCTTTCCCTTTACATTTTAGAGGAGGTGGTCATATAATAGCTTCTGTGCACTGCCATTCTAATAAGAATATGTTTATTTTTGTTTATAGGTGCAGGCAAAACTTCTTGAGCTGAAGGAGTTGGAAAAAAACCAATTCAGTTGGCACTCCCAGCCACACAATATACTTGTTAATGGAACTGCGGATCACTCCAGTCTTAGCAACAGCAGCAGTGAAACTGCTAACCTTAACGAGAACGCTGAAAGGGAAAGTTTAGCAGAAGATGAACAAATAAGCAATGCGTCTCCAGTGAGTAAAGTGTTTTGCCTGCTTGATCATGATGTGATGCAGCTGTAAAGTTGGAATATGTTAAAAGTGGGTCAAGACTGATTTTGTTTTGTTTTGAAACACTTGCGCAAGTGGTGTTACTCGGAGGAGCTATATTGCATTGATCTGAAAGTTGATTGTCAGGAAAGGAAACAAGTTTCACTTGGATGGAAAGTGGTAACAGGACCTTTTGCTTTGAAAACAAATGCATAATTTTTAAAGAATTTTGATGGTGTAATTAATGTTAAGAAGAGCAGGTGTCTCCAGTTGATGCAATAAGAACTTAATGAGGAATAATACGGAAAATCTGTCCTGCTTATTAGTTGCCCTTCCTATGTCCAAGTAGATTCTTGTGTGTGTGTCTTTTTATAACTTTCACAGAGTTCATGGAATATTTGAGTATGTTCTATAATAATTATGAGTCTCTTGAGGTAGAATATTTTTAGTAGTATTTTTAACTCTTTGATATGAAGAATGACATACATAGCAGGTTGTTTTTTTGTTTGCTTTTTAATGTAAGCAGAGTTCCTTTTTTGTTTTTTCTTCCCCTTGTGCAGATAAGAAATAGTCCTGAAACAACAGAAGCTGTTGTAGAAGAAAAAAAAGAAATCTCAGCTGCAGCTGTTACAAAAAAAGTGAGTTTGTTCAGATTGGATGGAGAGAAAATTTGAACTAAATAATTGTTAAACTGTTCAGGGTTTACCTCTTGTCGGTTACTTGCACGATGGTTACATGCTAGCATAGAAATCAAATTATCATTTTCTTACTGATTTTAATTGGAGTATAATGTTTTTCTCATATAGCAGATTGCTGTTTAGAAATATTTTTGGATGCCCACTGATGAATTATATAGAATTCTAGTTGTTTATTTGTTAACATTTAATAATTTCCTAAAAACAAAAAAAAAGACGAGATGCATGTTTTCCCTCCTTTGCATCTTAACATTTTCATACTTGTCTCTCCCTACTTTCACATGACCCAGGAAGATCCATTTGATGCTGAATCTCATCCGTTACCTGATCTGGTTTCTGAAGCCAGCTTAGACTTCTTCCAGTCTGACCCTTTTGTTGGCAGTAAGTAAACTTTTCTAAGTGTGGATTTGCAGAAAGATGTTTTGTCTGAACATGTGTATTTCAGACAAACCTACCCCTTGGAACTGGTCCTTTTAGAGTAAATGTGAAGGTGTTTGAGTGACAAGAGTGTGGAGCCAATAGCCTCACAAAACCAGAAATGAGTGTCCTAGAGCTTTTTTTTTTTTTTTCTCTCCTTTGCTTCCTCTATCTACACTTCCTTATTAGCTGTAAGCTCTGCACTTTCCCTGCACTGCAGTTTTCTCCCACTGCACTTCCTTGGTATTTCCCCACCCCGCCTCTAAGGTTGATATCAAAGGTGCAGGCAGACTTGTGATGCCTTTCATGTCACTCATCTGATTTACAGCAGAGATCACAAACAGCTCAACTAAAGGTTCAGTGAGCTGTGCTGTGGGGAGGGTGTGGGTGGCTGAGAATGAATGACTGTGGCCTATTTACAGTGAGTTTGGCAGTCAGAAAAAGATATGTGGAACTGCACCATCTGTTCATCTAGTGCAAGTGCTGTGCTTTATTTTAGGAACTCAACATGAATGCTTTTGCTGTGATTTTATGTCAGGAGTGGTCTGCATGGAGACACTTGGAGTGTGGGAGAAAAGGAGTTAATTTGCTTTAACTGCTAGAGCAGATGTTTCAAGCCACATTAATGTGCCTTGACATACTTTCAGAATCAAGATGGTCTAATCAGTTTAGCTCAGATTGCTTCAGAAAGAAAATAGGCTAAATTTACTTAGGATGACTTGGCTTCTGAATATATGTCAGTATGCAGGTTTAATTAAACTGTAATTTAAAATGCTTTCATCTTGAATGCCTCCATGCCGATTTTGTTTGATTATGTATTTATACTGATGTGGAGCTACCTGCAGCTAATAGCACAGTTTTTTTTCAGAAGTGAAAGGTATGCATGTTAGTAGTCAGTCTTTGGGCTTTATGTGCCTCATATCCTCAGGGGTAGATGCTTATATGTGGCATTATGTCCATGTGGCATTAGGAGTATGACTGATTCGGCTGGGGCAATGTTGCCAGTACAGAAATGAGCACCTAAAACTAGGAGCTACCATCCAAGGTGTTTGTGAGAATTATCAGATCTGGGACTAAGCCTCTGTCAATGGGTAGTCGGGGTTACTGTGGTGGTAATTGCTGCACAATGTGCATGTTTACTAATGGTAGCTACACAAATGCATCTGTGAACTGGCTGTGCTTTAGTGTATGCTCTATGGTGGCAATGCACTTCTCGATGTATATTTTGCTGACACCAGTTCATGTAGTTTGGCTGAAATTAGTGAAGCTCTTCCTCTGAATGAGAGTTGCTGAATTGTAATTGTAGAAATTACTTTGTATCCTATGAGACTTCACCTTAGTAGATGTTTTATGATTTAAAAAAAAGCTACAGATTTCCTTTTTTTTTAATAAACAGGTGATCCCTTCAAAGATGACCCTTTTGGGAAAATTGGTAAGTAACTCTTTAACTTTTCATATGTCTATTTTGTATATGATTCATAATAGAATATGGGAAAAGCATATGACAATTTTCAGTGTGAGAGAGGTGGAAATGACCTGAAAGTTGCCTTAGGATGGATAAACAGTAGCAGCAGTTGACTATTTAAACCTCTACAGAGAAGTACTTTGTCTTTGGACTTTTTTTTTTTGCTGTTGGAAGTACCTTGAGTTGTGATTTAAGTATGGTTGAAGGTGGTAAACAGAAGACCTTAAACTCTTGCTGATTTTTTTTTGTATGCAAATATATAGGACTGTACTCTTAAAGCTTTTCAATTTAGCAACTTTCTCTAGCACTGGATATTTTTAAAAAGTGTGAGTTCTCAATTTAGTCTGCCTGTGTGGGCAATATTACTACACTGCTTGCTTGTTCCTGGATGACCTTCCAACTGGCAAAAGCAAAATGTATTATAAGGCTGGAGCAAAATAACATTGTGTGCCAAGTGCCAAATAAGAAAACATCATCTGTGTTTGGGGAGTTAAGGAGAGGAAGGTAGGAAAGTTCTGAAAAAATACTAGCTTCTGTAAAATGGGGTATTCTTAAGGGAGGGGTATATAAAGAATGTGTGTTCAAATAATTCCAGAACTGAAACATTGTTGCTGTCTAGAATTTCCATGATGTGCAGAAAATGGCTTGTTGGAGGTTTCGAATCATAGAATACAAGTTACTTAAAGGTGAATCTCATACTTGAGATGCTTGGTCCTAACTGTCACTTTTCTGCAATGTGAAATAAGCAGTATAAAATGTTTTATTTTTAAGATATTAAGCTGAATAAAGCTAGCAGAAGTATTAATGAGATGTTTGCCTCTTTAGATCCTTTTGGAGGTGATCCTTTCAAAGGCTCAGATCCTTTTGCCGCTGACTGTTTTTTCAAGCAATCCTCCACTGATCCTTTTGTAGCTGCGGGCACCGATCCATTTAGCGCTGCAGGCAACAGCAGCAGCCCCACAGTAAGTTTGATAGCACACACCTCATTTCTTCTGTGTTGGGCATTTGGTCATGCTTTGAAAAGGTGATACTCGGATCATATAGATAACAAGTACCTCTGTCTCCCTCTTCCTGTCTTGGCTATTTTTATGTCCTACTTTTTAGAAGTAGTCTCAAATATTAAATCTAAATAAAAACCATTTAAAATGCTCCAATATGGCGCTTCACTGGGCTTCAAATTAGAGTGATTGAAAATGGTGAACTACTACCATTGGCAACTGGCGAAATTTTCATCACTGAATGAAATTGAAGAAATGATCTCACCAGATTATGTCAAGATACTTGATTTGTCCTTTAAAAGTTCTTGAATCTATTAGTATGTTACCTATTTTTTTTGAAATCATATGGGAATGTCCCCATCTGAAAAGTCAGATTATTCCAGATGTTTGTATTACTTGGGATGTATCTCCTTAAAGAGTCACTGAAGCCAATTGTCATTCCTAGATGCTTCCACAGTAGATGCACTTTGAATACCTCTTCCAACTGTGTTCTAGGTGTAACTTCAAGTTGCTCATGCTACAAGCGAGCAGCTATCCGTCAGTCTTCAGTGTATAATAAGATAGAGCTGACATGAAACTTTCTTAGAAGTAGGGTCAAATCTGATGAAGACAAAATAATGTTCTGGGCTGGTACATAAGCACTTAGATTAAGAAGCTAAAATTCTTTATACCAAAGGGTTGATTTCATCCTGTTGCCATCTCCTCTCAACTGCTTCATTTGTGTCTGTGTGTGTGTGTAAAGTGCACGTGGGTGGTTAGCAAGTGAGGTGGCTGTAGAGAGTGTACCTGACAAAAACCCACACAAGCCCTTTTTGCCTAATGTGTTCTCTAGTGTTGTCTTCTCTCTGATGCGCATGTTAGTCAAATCTCTAGGTCGTACTCTACACCTACAGCCTTAAAAAAGTGTGATTTCTACAATCTGTTATTTATTCAGCAGACTATCCCTTTCCAAATTACCGTTTTCTATTGCAACCAGTTCTTGGTAATATTGAGGTCTGCTAAGGGAAGTGCAGAAGGGAACATGAGTGGGCCAGAGCTGTGGTGTGGGTTATGTGGTCTGCAGCAGTTATGGTTCTGGAGGTCTGCGTTTCTGGACTGGAGCTGTGTTATGTTTTCCTCCTGAATGTTTTGCTATACCTTTGTGTACTGATAGCTTGTACTTGGATTTTTATGAAGATGGTCTGATTCTAGAAATCACAAGACCACATGGGTATTAGATATTCCTATATCTTGTATTAGTAATTACCTTTTTTTTCCATCCTTTGAAATCATAATTCTGAGGAGGAGTTTCTGCTAGCAGGCGTATTAACACTGATAAAAGCTATTTCCAAAACTGAAATTTTAGTAGGAAGTAAAATGGCAGATATCCCTGAACTTGTATTGTTTTTCTTTTGTTTTTTTAAGTAGTAGTTGGAAGATACTTGGAATGATCGTGAGAACATGGCATACTTAACTTGACCTTTTAGCTACTTGTACTAAACCTAGTAACATAAGATTAGTATTTGGTTTTAAAAACTCTTATATTGAAATAAATCAGGACTGTGTTCTTAGAATGAGGAATCTTTTAAGCTGGGAAAAAAAAAAAAAAGTCTTTTCCTCCAAAGGAATTTTTTTGTTTTAGACAGAAACACTGAAGAAAAATGACCCCTTTGCTCCTGGTGGAACAACTGTTACTACATCAAACGATCTAGGTAATGGTAGACTGTATACGCCAAATGTCTTGGGTTTTATTTTTATTTATTTTTGATTACTTTTATGTCATTGGACTTCTGACTGTGAACTCACAATAGGAGCACTTTAGGGATTACATTGTACTTGACAGGAAAATTCAGAAAATGAAAGGGCATAAATTTATAAGGGTTTATAAAGGGCAGGGTTTTTTGGTATTACAAACCAAAACTGATAAAGGGCGGGTTTTTTGGTATTACAAACCAAAAC